AAAGTACTCTAAACTGTATAAATAATGTAAAATTAAATTGAATTTATTAGCCAATCAGACGAACTTCTGTCTATGAGCCTAACTCTAAAGTTAATTCATTTTAGGCGTTCCCTGGGCCGGAAACTCTTGTTACACAAAATCTTGAATTTTTATTTACATAATGACGTAAATCGCGATTTTAATCAAAACATCTCACTTAAAAAAAAAATGGAAATGGATGATTTTGAAAAATTGGAAAAAGTTGGAGAAGGTATTGTAATGTTACAAAATAATGATTACAACCATTCAGCATGAACTCTATTATTAACACGTTTTTTAAATAAAAATTTATTTCTTTTTAAAGGAACATACGGCATAGTTTATAGAGCTAAGGTCAAAAAAACCGGAAAAATTGTGGCTCTTAAGCAGGTGCGCCTAGATTTACCCGTTGGAGAACAAGAAGGAATTCCACCTACTTCACTTCGGGAAATTTCATTGCTTAAAGAATGTTCAAAAAATGAAAATATTGTAAAGTATGTTGGATTTGACCGCAAGTACTGTTGAAATATAGAAACACGTAAAACTGCAACGCACTAAATATATTTCATATTGTTCGAATAGACTTCTTGATATCATAAATCAAGAGAAGAAATTGTTTCTTGTTTTTGAGTTTCTTACAATGGATTTGAAGAGATACATTCAGACATTTAAAGAGGGACTAGAATTAAGTAAAATTCAGGTATTTTTGTCATTCCATCTTTCGTGTTTAAAGGCTATTTCATGTAGGCGTTTTAATATAATTAAATTCGTTCTTTTAAACTTGAATAGAAACTTATGTACCAACTTCTTGACGGAACTACATTTTTACATAGACGGCGAATTTTTCACCGAGACTTAAAACCACAAAATCTATTAATTGACAAAGATGAAAACCTTAAATTAGCTGATTTTGGATTGGCGAGAGCCGTTGGCATTCCTCTGAAGCCTTACACGCATGGGGTATCATTGTCTCAAAGCTTTGTATCTAAGTTAAGATAATTTTTGTTCTTTTTATACATTAGTGTATATTTATTTTAGGTAATCACTTTATGGTATAAAGCCCCTGAACTTATGCTCGGTAGTCCAACATATACTTTTGCTGTTGACATTTGGAGTATCGGGTGTATCTTTGCTGAAATTGCTAATAGAGAAGTTTTGTTCAAGGGTAAGATTTGGATAAAAAAAATTACAAGCTGCTTGCTAAAATAAGCTTTAAGATTATTTATAATTTATGATATGATTGTTATTAATAGGTGAAAGTGAAATTGATGAACTTTTCCTGATTTTCCAGCAAGTATTTTTTTTTTTTCACTTTAATGTAATATCCAAATTTACCATCTGTTAAATCAATATTAGGGTTCTCGGAACTCCGGATGAGAATGTTTGGCCTGGTATATCACAATTTAGAGATTTCACACCTGTCTTTCCAAAATGGAAACCACAGCCCCTTAATCAATACGTTCCTACATTGAATTCTCTTGGCGTCGATCTGCTTGGTGTAAGTTAAACTACTTTCAAAGGTATTCATAATTCAAATTTATGGACTTCACATTATTTATTTTATATGGCGCTATGTGCCAACAGAAAATGTTGACGTACGACGACTCGCTACGCATCTCAGCTAAACGTGCTTTACTGCATCCCTTTTTTAATGAACTTCTAACTCCACACATGCCACTACTAGAGTTTAGAACCGGGTTATAGTAAACCGTGTCACCCGTGTCAAAACGGTTCAACCGAGTCAAAAATTTACAACTCGGTTGAATATGTAACCTCTAACACTCTGTTACACAGAAAACATAACAAAATTTTTGTTTTGTGAATAAACACCCTTTTTCTCTTACTAATTTATCTAAATGTTCAATCCCATTAATCTGGATTTAAAAAAAACGTTACAAATTTTGCGAAAATTTTGTTAAAAATTTTTCTTTGCATAAACCTTCATTATTTTCTTTGCTAATATGTAATACTCTTTGCTCGACACGAATGGCGTGATCGTCAATAACTCATAGAGGGGGATCACCATCATTCCGGGTCGGATTGATTAATTTTGTCCATCACTAAAAACTTAGTATCCTTATATGTTAAGAAAATGGATCTGCAAAATTTCGGCTCGGAACCAATAAAAATTGCAGAATTTTGAAGATCTTCGTGTAACGTAAACAAACGCTAACCCTAACGTTAAACAAAAAAAGGGGGGAAATCCTAAAAACTTTACTAATGAAGTCATAGCCCATTCATTAAGTAAAAATGCCCGATGTAACAATTTAATTTTATAATTTTACCCTTTTTTGGTGTAATTGATTATCTAACTAAATTAGTATCGTGATTGTTAAAGCCCTCGAAGGAGGCAGTGGTGCATATTGACATGAGGCTAACACGATAGCTGATGTCATAAAGTAGGTTCAGAATGTGTTCTCTTTCACAATCTAAATGTATGATTATCTAACTAAATTAGTATCGTGATTGTTAAAGCCCTCGAAGAAGGCAGTGTGCATATTGACATGAGGCTAACACGATAGCTGATATCATAAAGTAGGTTTTAGAATGTGTTTTCTTTCACAACCTAAATGTATGATTATCTAACTAAATTAGTATCGTGATTGTTAAAGCCCTCGAAGGAGGCAGTGTGCATATTGACATGAGGCTAAC